CTATTTTTGGCCATAAAAGGGTAACCCCTTGGGCTTTACTTCCTGTCAACAAAAAGTTAACGTTAATCTTGGCAATTTTTGGCTACTTTGCGAATTCTTGAGAATAGGGCAACGAATTAACTTTAGTGTGCTTTAAGTAAGACTTTGAAGCACTCCTGGATTGCAAATATAGGGATATCAATTGTATATGTTACTGTATCCTTTGTGATGATGTGATAGAACGCCGACGCTGAAAACGTCGATGTGTTTTTAATCTTTTTTGGGGGTGGGGGGGGGGGGGGGGTAGATCCAACCAAATCATGATTGCTCAGGATAGAACTTAACATATTGACCAACTTTGTTTTTTGAATAAAATCATTTCTATACATTATAGATATCCCAATGTAACCATGGAGTATCTCCTTTTAAGAGAACGCGTCCTGCCGCTGGTCGTTTTATACCAATTCAACCAAAACCTGATCTAGCAGTCTCCACAAGTACAACTGCCGGACCTGAGGCAACGAAAAATGCGATTACCGGTACTTCAGTTGCCATGCCAACCAACCTCCAGTTACCAGTATTGGACAACCCTGGACTTGAGTCGAGGGTGTTGTTGCTTCCTCTAGGTTCCATGACAGAACAAGATCCAACATCATTTCCTAATGTGTTTTCTGCAGCTGAATCAAGTCAAAAGGCTCAAAGCCCTCTTAATATGATACCACAAAGTCAATTACAATCGTCAACTATTGCTGGGACTGAATCACTACCACCAGCTCTCAGTTCTGTTGATATTGTAACACAAAGTCAGTTACCATTGTCAACTATTGTTTCCCCATCAACAACACCAGTTGACAGTTCTGTTAATGTGGTACCACAAAGTCTGTTACCATCAACTATACATGGGACTCATTCAAGGCCACTAGTTTTCAATACAAATGCCATGACAACACCAGGTCATTCTCTATCACCCAGTGGTCCTTGGACGATATCAACACCAACTAGAGTACCATCCGTTACCATGGAAACATTGTTTCCATCTTCATCAACTACTGTGTTCAACCCAAATGCCATAACAACACAAGGTCCGTCTATGCCATCTATTTCTCTTCGGACGGTACCGACATCAACTATGATACCATCAGTTGCCATGGCAACCTTTCCAGAAGCACCATTTCCGTCAACCGTTTTCAGTACAGAAGCCACGACAACACTGGGTCGGTCTCTATCACGTAGCCTTCCTTGGACAGTACCAACAACAGCTATGGCATCATCAGTTACCATGCCAACTTTCCCAGCAACACCATCTCCATCAACCGCTTTCAGTACAGATGGCATGACAACACCAGGTCCGTTTCTATCACCTTATGTTCCTTGGACAATACCTATGGCACCATCAGTTACCATGGAAACTTTCCCAGCAACACCATCTCCATCAACCGCTTTCAGCGCAAATACCATGACCACACCGAGTCCTTCTCTATCATCTTATGTTCCTTGGAGAGGACCTATGGCACCATCAGTTACCATGGAAACTTTCCCAGCAACACCATCTCCATCAACCGCTTTCAGCGCAGATGCCATGACCACACCGGGTCCTTCTCTATCATCTTATGTTCCTTGGAGAGGACCTATGGCACCATCAGTTACCATGGAAACTTTCCCAGCAACACCATCTCCATCAACCGCTTTCAGCGCAGATGCCATGACCACACCGGGTCCTTCTCTATCATCTTATGTTCCTTGGAGAGGACCTATGGCACCATCAGTTACCATGGAAACTTTCCCAGCAACACCATCTCCATCAACCGCTTTCAGCGCAGATGCCATGACCACACCGGGTCCTTCTCTATCATCTTATGTTCCTTGGAGAGGACCTATGGCACCATCAGTTACCATGGAAACTTTCCCAGCAACACCATCTCCATCAACCGCTTTCAGCGCAGATGCCATGACCACACCGGGTCCTTCTCTATCATCTTATGTTCCTTGGAGAGGACCTATGGCACCATCAGTTACCATGGAAACTTTCCCAGCAACACCATCTCCATCAACCGCTTTCAGCGCAGATGCCATGACCACACCGGGTCCTTCTCTATCATCTTATGTTCCTTGGAGAGGACCTATGGCACCATCAGTTACCATGGAAACTTTCCCAGCAACACCATCTCCATCAACCGCTTTCAGCGCAGATGCCATGACCACACCGGGTCCTTCTCTATCATCTTATGTTCCTTGGAGAGGACCTATGGCACCATCAGTTACCATGGAAACTTTCCCAGCAACACCATCTCCATCAACCGCTTTCAGCGCAGATGCCATGACCACACCGGGTCCTTCTCTATCATCTTATGTTCCTTGGACAGGAACTATGGTGCCAATGTCTGTTTCCAGATCAATATCACTACCAAATTCTAGTTGTATGACAATGACATCCCAAGGTTCAAATATAGTTCCCGGAAATCATTTTGGTATGAGTTCAGATCTATCGCAAGCTGATGTCGATAGTGGAGAATCAAGTACCAGAAGAGGAAATGAAGTTTTCAGTGTTAATGATGTGCAAACAGCTCTGCTTCTTTTGCAGCCTTCTGGATTGTAC